CTTCCCTAAGTCAGCCGCTGCTAAAACTGACCAGCAGCTGACTTGGGGAAGCCAGGGGCAGAGCACCTCCAATTGTCGGGCTGGCCAGAGCACTTCTGGGTTCCAGTTGGTGCCGGACTATCAGGAGTGCCGGACCACTGGATGCATGCACAAAGGGGTGTTATTGTAGAACCTTGGCCTTGGTTTTTACTTTTTCTGGTATACAATAAATGCACTGTATAAAATGGTATCTGCCTAGACCAGATATGGGTTCTTAGCTGCATAGAAAGCTATACTTTTTCATACAGGAACAGTAATGTCACCATTTACTGGATGTCCTTTACTGCCAACACTGACAGCAATTCCTCAGACTATAACTAGGTCTTTTGGTCTTAACTCTTATACAATTACAGTTATTGTTTAAGGAGGGTTTTTTGTTGTTGTTAGACAGGTAGTGCTGTGTTAAAATGATACAGTCTTAAATGGAAATACCTAAATATTTTCCACACAAAGTGAGGTACCAAAGCCTAATAAGCCTCACATTGGCTAGGAGACAAATCAGTGCTGGGAGCTATCTTCCCATGCACAAATCCAAAAGCTCCTTATAAAGAAATCAACAATATGCCCTTTAGTTTATAAAATTGTCCAAACTCAGGAAAAAAATCAAAAGAAACAAGATTAGTGGAAGTCATCTGTATCTCAAAAACTTTAATATCTGTTAAGATGTTTTGGCACAAAGCCTGAGAACACACTTAAATGATTTGTGAACTTGCTTGGCCTGTAACACTTGTCTGACTGCAGCAACCTAGTCTCTGAGGTAGGACCAAAGAGATACTGAAGCTTTGTCTACACTTAAAAGTTTAAAGTGCAGCCGCGGCAGCTCTTTAAGCAGAAAGTGTGGCCACAGCACGAGCGGTGGTAGAGAGCTCTCCCAGCCATCTACATAAACCACGTTCATGAGGGGAGTAGCTAACAGCGCTGGGAGCATAGGTCCCAGTGCTGTAGCCTGGTTCATACTATTGCTTTACAGTGTTGTAACATTTACTGTGCTCGGGGGCTGTTTTTTTACATCCTTAAGCCAAAAAAAGTGACAGCACTGTGAAGTGCCAGTTGAGACTTAACCTAAAAATGAAAACCACCTGCCAAACACTAAGATCTCTTGCACAACCTCCATTAATCACAATAATTCACCAACATTTTCCATTAATTTATCAACAAACATGACAATATGTAGTGTAATTCTGCTTGTCTCAATACCACCTTTAGCAACAGAGCCATCTGGAAAAAAAGAATTATACCGCTAAAATAGCTACCATCAATTTCCATTTCATTTTTCTGAATAAGCAAAGATGCATCACACTCAACAATTAAGATGCTATGTAAAATAATTTCTCTTTATTCAATTTAAATTAGCATTTTCTCAGTGTGAGCTACATTCTACAGATAAATCTCTGTGCAAAATAGTTTATAAAATACTATAAAAGGCTTTTATTGTAAAAATAAAGTTTCTAGTTATACAATTACTTTGCACTATTGACAAATATTATACAGTATTTTACAATTAATATGTCACATTATTTAAACATGTGAAGTCATGTAAACCAATCATCTTAATGATAAACATTATATTACTGGTATGTCAGCCTCTTATGTCTGGAACACCGTTCTTTTCCCACACATTGCCCTAACAAACCCCAGTAGAGTTTTTGCTTATATATTCTCTGTTCACCATTATGCATTTTAGTAATGAAATTGGGCCTTGGAACAAGACAAGTTCCATTGTAGGATAGAACATAGCTAGTTAAATGGGAGGTAGTGAGCATTAGAACAAGAATATGTGGTCTTAGTCTGGTAAATTAAAACAATTCTCCTAAAAGATTGTGAATCGTTAACATGAACCCTCATTGATCCAACTCACTTTCGTTTTGCAAGGTCTTCATAGCTAAGCCCCACAGGGTCATACTGGAAAAAAATGGTCCTTCATTAGTCCTATATGCAGCAGAAGATGAACGATTGCCCAAAGGGTCACCACAATGACCGTCCAGGGTTGTCATTGATGAACGAATCATAGAAATATTATCAGAGTGTAGGGGTTCTTCTGTAGGTGACGCATCTACCTCTGTGTAAGTGAAAGGTGACTGAGGAGTTTGCTGTGTCTGAGGTTTTGGAAGTTCAACAGGATCCAGATTCAATTTTTGTTGGATTGTAGACTCATGGTGGTGAATCATTGACCGCAACTTGCAATAAGATCCTTCAGAGCTATCAAATTCATTAACTGAATTTCCAACTGGACGAACAGGAAATTTAACTGATACTGGTAACAAAGTAACAGACATTTCTTGGGCAAATGAGTCAGAATGCTGAGATTTCTCAAGATCAGAAGTTTCAATTGCCTGAGTCAATTCCTCGAGGGTATTTGGTCCCTCATCACTGGCCTTGCAGTGCATTTTCTTATGCCGCCGCAGAACAGCAGAACGCGTGAAGCATTTATTACAGGTCTCACAAGTATAGGGCTTTTCTCCTGTATGAGTCCGCACATGTCTGCGTAGGTCACCAGACCCTGCAAAACATTTTCCTAAGAGATAAAAGTAATACTTTTAGATTTTGTTTCTCTCAACATGAATGCTATGAACATGTTTGATAAGAGGGAATATCAAGTGTTATTAGTACAGATCATCTCTTAATGTGTCATGCTTTCTATCGAGAACAGTCTCACACTTGCTCCTTCTATTTTTAAAACTCAATTATTTGTACTTTTCTTCTTCTTGACCTGACTTGCTCTCCTGTATTTCCATATCCTTCCGTTTATAGCAGAGGTCTCCAACCTTTTTAAGCACAAGATCATTTTTTCAATTTAAGTGCAATCCAAGATCTACCTCAGATATAAATACCCTTGCCCTGCCTCCTTCCTGCCCCTCCAAGGCCCTACCCCTGCTCACTCCATCCTCCCTCTCTTGCCCATTCTCACTCACTTTCACCAGGCTGGGGCAGAGGCTTGGGAAGCAGGTTGTGGTCTTGGATTAAGGGATCTGGAGTGAGAGAGGACCTCTGAGCTGCTCTTGGGGCAGGCAGTTGGGATGTAGGAGGAGGATCTAGGTGCAGGCTCTGGGCGGGCATTTGGATGCTGGGGTGCTCGTGGTGGGGGAGGGACTTGGACGTAGGAGGGGGTTCATGACTGGGGTAGGAGTTAGGGATGTGGGCACCAGCTGGGCAGGTGGCTCCTGAGTGGTGGTGCAGTGGGGCTAAGGCAGGCTCGCCCCTGTCCTGGCCCTGCATCACTCTCAAAAGCAGCCAACAAACACCCTCCATCCCAAGCCTTGTTGTGCCCCCTCTCTGTTTTGTGGAGATAGGATACAGGATGGGAGGGGCACCTTGACATCAGCGCCCCTATTCTCCCTCCCCTGCCCTGCACAGAAAGCAGGAAGCTCCGCAGGAGGAGGAGTAGCTCCAAGACAAAGGGCAGGAGGTGTGCAGCAGTGGGTGGAGGGGCAGCTGAAGTGCTGGCACTTGATAGCCTTTTGGCCAAACCTCTCAGGATCACCTGTCAGAGGCTCCCAATCTACTGGTTGGTGACCACTGGTTTATAGTCTGTGGTATCAAAAATACCCACTACAGGTTGAACCTCTGTGGTCCAGCAACATCCGTGGTCCACAGGACTACGGATGTTGCTGGATCAGAGAGCCCCAGTGGCAGAGGTTGCCAGTGGCTGGCACGGCAGCAGAGCCCATGGGTCAGGAGAGCCCCCAGGGCTAGCATGACAGTGAAGCCTGTGGGGCTGCTAGAGCCCAGCGTGGCAGCAAAGCCAGCTGGGTTGCAGGAGCCCAGAATCTGGAGAGAGGAACCCAGTGGAGAAGCTGGCACCCGCCCTCCAACCTCCCATGGTCTGGCAAATTCCCTTGTCCGGGATCAATCAGGTCCCGTGGGAGGTCCAACCTATAGCACTGGAAGGCAGTGACAAGCATTAGTAACAACTGCTAGTCTCAGTTTGTGTCTGTCTTTGCTGAATTTAATCACTTTGATCCCTACAGTAACAGCCTGAGGAACATGGCATGTTAATACGTTTTTCATTGGAGAAATGAAATATACTTTATAATAATTGCCTCACTACTGAGGTTTGATTTTCGATACTTCAGTGATGGTTACTATTATAAAAACCTAACAGGATAGATAATGTAAATAAGCACATTTTGGCTACAGAATATTTTCAGTGTTGCAATTTTTATTATTGCTTGGAGCATTCAAGAACAATGAAAAACTATCAACTTCTTAAGATGCAGTATGTGTATATTTTTTAGAATAAACAGAAGCCAGAAGTAAAATAACTCTTATAAAACTACAGACAGCAATATAGTAAGTGACTGAAATTGGGTAAAGATATTGACAATATCATAGTACACTACAAGAAAAAGATGTTTCTAATTTATAAAATTGCTGTTGAAATTGTACACCGTGATTCTGCGATTTTACATTCTTCAAAATAGTATAATTTGATTTTACGTGGTTTTGTCCATATTAATGATTGTTTCAATGCTGTATTTTATATGGACAGGTACCATGAAAGTAAACTGTGAAAGCTTAGGAAATTGCAACTGATGTACAATATATTGATCTACACATTACTATATTTTTATTTTTTGGCATTACAGTTTGCATACAACTGTTTATATTAACCCTTAATTTTAAAAAAATGCAGACTTTTTTGCATAGCCACATTATCACTGGGCCAGTAGGTGTTGAATTTTTACCTATGGTAGACTATTTCTTAAGAGATGGATCCTCTTGTGGGCCATTTTTGTTCTCAGCCTAGATTCTACACCTTCTCTGTGGAAACCAGATGAATTGGCTATAAGAAAAGCTAATCAGAACAATATTAAAGGGACAAGATTAAAACAAGCCTATTTTAATGTGATGGAAGAAATTACTTGTTTACATTTTCTCTAATTTGTATTTGCAGTTTATTTCTGCTGACTGGGTGAAAGGCTTTACATTACTTAAAACTCACCTGTTTGCTATCCCTCTCCGATATTGATGTCCTCTGAACATATGAACATGACTGAACTTATACCAAAAGCAACAAGCATTGCAGGAAGATAATTAAGTACCACCTCAGGATGCTGAGAGGTGCTTGGGATGTGAGAGTTTAAATGATCAATAAAACCTCTGGACACTCACAAGAAAAGATGAATTGCTATCAAATACAGCAACTTTACAGACTGCCTGGAAGTTGGATCCATGTGATACAATTTGAAAAATAGTATTCTAGACTCTGTGGGGTTAACCCAGTTATGCTTTCACAGGAGACTTCCCTTTAAAAGTTAAATGGTAGATTAAAGGTAGCTATCAGCTTTCACTAGAATTCAGTGAGATTTAATTTGAATATTGCACCCAAATGTTTAGGACAAAAACACTAAAGTTGTCTTTTCAACATACTTCTTTAGGAGGGAAGCTAAACACGTCCTGGTGAAATAATTTGTGCTCAGTCTAGCACTGTTTAAGGCTTAAAGAAAAAACACCTACTGCAAAGGTGATACAGGACACCTTGTTGAAAAAGTAACATTTGTGCCATAAATAATAGTGAACTCCTATGCATGAGTGTAAACTGGTAATAAACCAAGTTGAAAACTATTTGAACCATCAACTACACCAAATAAAGATATCCAGAAAAGGGTATTTCAATCCAATGTTACTTTGTCTATTTCCAAGTCACTCAGGGAATAAGGTGAATTTCCACTAGCTTTTAAAAATAAACATGTATGTATTCTAAACCTTACTTACCACATGCTGAACAGCTGTATGGTCTTTCTCCTGTGTGCCTAATTCTGTGCTTTACTAATTTCCGTTGCATATTAAATGACTTTCCACACTCATCGCAGGTGAATACTTTATCTGCTGTATGGGTCTTTTTGTGTTCCTTTAAGTTACTAAAGTTACTAAACCCTGGAAGAATGTAACAGACACTAAGATTAAGAAGACTACTCACATTTCAATCATAAAACCTACAGACAGAAAAAAATAATTCTTGCATACCTCGGCCACAGATATCACATAAGTGAGGTTTTTCTCCAGAATGAATAATAATGTGACGCTGTACATCACCAGAAGCAGCAAACCTGAAATAGAATTTGGAAATTTAGTTAAAGTATTTATATATACTACTCATCATAAGTGGGTATCCTTTGGAGAGCATAAGTCATAATGCTTCAACAGTCTTGAAAATTCTTTCATGGTTAGAGGGCAGTATACTAAAATGTTAAAAGCCCCTACCATTAGATGCCATTAAATTGACATTGTCAGGTTAGGTATATTTTTTAAACAAGCGTAACACCTTAAATTTCAAACATCTATTGTTAACAATCAAATCATCAATCAAACTTTTTATATTAATACTATTTATTTACTTTTTGTATTTTGCCCAGCTTAAATTAAAATAGACAAGTCAGTTACAGGTTTGTGTATTTTCTGTCGTGCAGAATGCAGCAATATTTGAGCTGTAAAGACTTCAAGGAAATTTAAAAAACTCAAATTAAATAATGAAGACCTATCTCCTGATCACATTTTTGTAAACAAAACCCTAATAATTTTGGGTCTAAATCATTATGGCAACGAACAGCTTTAAAGGAAAAACACAGAAATGTACATACTTTATCATTATGGGTCAGAATTTCCAAAAGTTTTGTAAGTTGAATAGTTTAATTAGACACGAAATATTTTTAGTTAATTAAAAAGTTGCCAGTGAACAGAAATCTAAATAAGCCCATAAAGCACAGGTTTGATGAGTTTCAGCATTACTGTACTCTTCTTCCTCCCCAGAGAACTAAAAAAATACTTTTGCACAACCCATCATTTGGTACTTTCTTTTAACAAGCAAGTACTAAAGTTAATCTCTTGTCATTTACCAGAATTCCAATGAAGGCAGAACTGCACAAAGATGGGCAAATAGACCATAAAAGCCTATGGTGGTATAATCAGCACAAACTATTCATGCTACCTAAACCTTGGTCTCTGGGTTATTATTAGGGTTAAACAATTAAAATACAGTCTTAAAGCACTGACACAGTAACTGTACAGGAGAATAACAACTGTACTAACCTTTTCCCACAGATTTCACAAATATATGGTTTTTCACCAGAGTGCCGACGTAAATGAGTCTGTAGGTTACCTGCCTGAAAAGATGGGAATAAAAGGTTTAAAGAGGGCAGAACTAGCCAGTCAGTGTCTGTAGGAGTGTACGTTAAGGTGGTAAAGAACAGAAACCTGAAGCTGGCTTTCAGTTCATAATTTTAAAGTGTTCAAGGCTATGCTCCATTTGTATAATGAAGTATTATGGTGTTTGATCAAGAAATACTGTTGTCTATACTAATAGCCACCTAACTATCTAGGCAACTATAAATTGACAAGAGCAAATTGTGAAACAGAAGAGAAGCAATTAAAAAACAAAAACAAACCAGAAGCCCAGATTTAAACAATTTGGAAACAAGTTACATCTGAAAGACTTATCCTGTTAAGAGAGAAAACCTAAGGGCTTGTCTCCACCGTGCTGGGGATTAATGCTGCAGCGACTGATCCACCGGCCGTCGATTTATCACATCTGCTTAGATGCGATAAATAGATACCCGAGTACTCAGCCATCAACGTTGGTATTCCATCAGGACAAGCAGAGTTGTTGATGGGAGAGCGGCTCTCACCGACCCTACTGCACACAGGACTCCATGGTAAGTATGTCGACTTCAGCTTCGCTTTTTACATAGCTGAAGTGAAGTAGATTACATCAACAGCAGGGGCTTATATAGACAAGGCCTAATACAACATACAGGTTTATAGTCATAGGGAGAGGATTACTTACCAGTAATCTGATTTGTCTTAAGTCTCCTCTTTCCTATCCTCCAAATAAAACACCACTACATCATGATGTCTGAATTCACTACCAGCAGGCAAAGAAAAATGATCAGCTATTGTCTATTTAGTACGTACTTGTGATGTAGTGGGGCATCTTGCTGGTCACAAGGCTTGGGCTGTCCCCTGCTGGCCCTGCCTGTGAGCATGGCCCAGCAGGGGTGCCAGACACTGCCTTGACCGGTTCTGACTGGGGGGAGGGAAGGAGGTTGGAACAAAGGAAGTACGTGGGGGGAGGAAGAGTTAGTCAGGGGCTGGAAACATGATGGAGACAGTCTAGGGAGGGAGCTTGGAGACTAAGGCCTCAGGCACCCCATCTTAAGGGGTCTGGGGCATCCTAGCCCCCCTCCAACTGCCACATCACGTCTATGCTGTGCTGTATTCTGGAAAATCAATGAACCCCTCTCTATTCTGCTGGCTGGTGGAGACTGTTCTGGCTGCTACGGGGGTGCAGAATCGGGGGAACCCTGACTCTGCCATCACAGTACGCAAGTCTGAGTACTTCAAAAGCCACAAAAATACCCCCAACAAAAGAAGAAAGTAGGATAAGGAAGAGGAGAAGACTATGATCAAACAAATCACTGGTAAGTATTTTTTCCTTGTATATCTTCCCTTTCCTGCAAAAGTCACGCTGAAATATCAAGCAAGGCAAATAAGAAGTCCAGACGCATGATGCATACTTCTTCCTAATAATCGTTTGGCCTAGGCTACGTCTAAAACTTAAGTCAACATAACTACACTATCACACAAGGATGGGAAAAATTTACACCCCTGAGCAACATTGTTAAGCTGACCTAAGTTTTGGTGTAGAATCATTAGATCAACAGAAGTTTCTTGGAGGGGTGGATTAACTACAGCGGGGCTTCTCAACATGTGGTCCATGGGCCTCATGTTGTCCACGGTGCAGTTTGGGTTTACGTGGGGCTCAACACGAGGATCCTTTGAACATGGCCTCCACTGGGAACACACTCCACAATAGCGAGTCAATATAATGGTCTTCTGTTGATATGCGTTTTAGTAGTTAAATTCCTGGACTGTCATTGTTCATTAAAAGTGCTGTCATATGGGTGGAAATCAGGTAAGTATTGCATTTTATTAATATCAGCAGAACTGACTTAAACGGTGCCTGTGTGTTGTGTAGTCTTGCCTTAATCTTTGTATTCATGCCCATCAATGTGAAAGAAACTATCTGCATATATATGTAACCACACTTAACTTGCAGCCCTTGCCATATGCTGTGAGTATCACTGTGGCCCCCAGGGCATCCAAAGTTGAGCAGACCAGAACTAAAGTGATGGAAGAACCCCTTATTTGCTGGAACGAGTGCCTACACTGCAATTGTACAGCACCATACCTGCAGGGCAAAAGATGTGCCATGACAGATGTAGTGTTTACATAGCCTGAGTAGTGAAGATCAGTGATGGTTCTGAATAGATAATCCTCTAAGACTCCAACTGTATATGCAAGACATAAACATGTTGGAGGGAGGAACCCTGAACATTGTCTGAGAATGTTTTACTTGATTCCAAGGTCACATGCTAATACTTACCAGCCTTTTTGCAATTTTAGAACACTCAAAGAAACTGATTTGGCTTTATTTAAATTCAGCTTGAGTAGAAAATGTAAGATATTAGGGATGTGGGTTAACTATTTAAGCAGTAAGCATCAGCCTTAAGGCATGTTTATAGGGATAACTATAAACTAGTAGGATAACTAGTAGGCCAGCAAGACTAGAGCAGCTCCCCACTCGCAGCGCAGCAGGCCCAACCCGGCCAGCCTTGTGCTCACAGTGTGATGCAGCAAGAGTAGCCCAACTCGAGCAGCTTCCCATCCAGGGTGTGGTGGGCCCAGCCCACGCAGCTCCCACCCACAGTGCAGCAGGCTTGGCCTGGCCTGGCCGGAGCAGCATGTAGAACGGCGGGTATGGCCTGCAGGATCCCAGTTAACTGGTTAACCATAATGTTTAACCGGTTAACTTTTAAATGGGATTTTATATCCCTATGAGATACATCTCTCTTATGAAGTATACAGAGATTCTTAATTACCTTTATTTAGTGCCCTTCCTAGATAAAGAAAGATCAGAGGAACTATCCTCAAGGGTCATGCTTCTGATTCTGTCTCTCTCTCCTTGAAATGCTCATAGGCAATTTCAGCAACTTGGACAACCAAAGTTTATGGAAATAGCAAAAGGAGGTAAAAGGAACTTGACATCAGAGGTCAAAACAACAAAGGACAAAGTGAGGTGAAACGCACTGCAAAGAATCCATACAGATGAAAAATGACCATAGATTTCACCCTGAAACAGCCATGATCTTAAGGAAAGGTAGAAGGGAGACCAGCACAATTGAGGTTATGGATTTCAGGAAGGCAGATTTTGATAAGCTCAGAGAACTTGTAGGTAAGGTCCCATGGGAAGCAAGACTGAAGGGAAAAACAACTGAGGAGAGTTGGAAGTATTTCAAAGGGACGTTGTTAAGGGCCCAAAAGCAAACAATTCCGCTGTGTAGGAAAGATAGAAAATATGGCAAAAGACCAGCTTGGCTTAACAAGGAGATCTTGCATGATCTCAAAATAAAAAAGGAGTCATATAAAAAATGGAAACTAGGACAACTAACAAAGGATGAATATAGGCAAGCAACACGGGAATGCAGGGGCAAGATTAGAAAGGCAAAGGCACAAAATGAGATCAAACTAGCTACAGGCATAAAGGGAAACAAGAAGACCTTTTATAAATACATTAAAAGCAAGAGGAAGACCAAGGACAGGGTAGGCCCACTGCTTAGTGAGGAGGGAGAAGCAGTAACAGGGAACTTGGAAATGGCGGAGATGCTCAATGACTTCTTTGTTTCGGTCTTCACCGAGAAGTCTGGAGGTGTGCCTAACGTAGTGAATACAAGCAGAGAGAGGGTAAGTTTAGAAGATAGGATACACAAAGAACAAGTTAAAAATCACTTAGGAAAGTTAGATGTCAGCAAGTCACCAGGTCCTGATGAAATGCATCCCAGGATACTCAAGGAGCTGATAGAGGAGGTATCTGAGCCTTTAGCTATGATCTTTGAAAAATCATGGCAGACAGGGGAGATTCCAGAAGACTGGAAAAGGGCAAATATTGTGCCCATCTATAAAAAGGGGAATAAGAACAACCCAGGAAATTATAGACCGGTCAGTTTAACGTCTGTCCCAGGGAAGATAATGGAGCAGGTAATTAAGGAAATCATATGCAAACACTTGGAAGGTAATAAAGTGATAGGGAATAGCCAGCATGGGTTTGTGAAGAACAAGTCATGCCAAACTAATCTGATAGCTTTCTTTGATAGGATAACGAGCCTTGTGGATAAGGGAGAAGCGGTGGATGTCATATACCTAGACTTTAGTAAGGCATTTGATACGGTCTCGCATGATATTCTTATTGATAAACTAGGCAAATATAACTTAGATAGGGCCACGATAAGGTGGGTGCATAATTGGCTGGATAACCGTAGTCAGAGAGTTGTTGTTAACGGTTCTAAATCCTGCTGGAAAGGGATAACAAGTGGAGTTCCTCAAGGGTCTGTTTTGGGACCCGTACTGTTCAATATCTTCATCAATGATGTAGATATTGGGATAGAGAGTACTCTTATTAAGTTTGCAGATGATACCAAACTGGGTGGGGTTGCAACTTCTTTGGAGGATAGGGACATAATTCAAAATGACCTTAGCAAGTTAGAGAAATGGTCAGAGGTAAACAGGATGAGGTTTAATAAGGAGAAATGCAGAGTGCTCCACTTAGGAAGGAACAATCAGTTCCATACATACAAGATGGGAAGCGACTGTCTAGGAAGGAGCATGGCGGAAAGGGATCTAGGGGTCATAGTGGACCACAAGTTGAATATGAGTCAACAGTGTGATGCTGTTGCAAAAAAAGCAAATATGATTCTAGGTTGTATTAACAGGTGTGTTGTAAGCAAAACTCGTGAAGTCATTCTGCCGCTCTACTCTGCGCTAGTTAGGCCTCAGCTGGAGTACTGTGTCCAGTTCTGGGCGCCACATTTCAAGAAAGATGTGGAGAAATTGGAAAGGGTACAGAGAAGAGCGACAAGAATGATTAAAGGTCTAGAGAGCATGACCTATGAAGCCAGGCTTCATGAACTGGGCTTGTTTAGTTTGGAAAAAAGAAGATTAAGGGGGGACATGATAGTGGTTTTCAAATATCTAAAAGGGTGTCACAAGGAGGAAGGAGAAAATTTGTTCCTCTTGGTTTCTGAGGACAGGACATGGAGTAATGGGCTTAAAGTGCAGCAGGGGAGGTTTAGATTGGACATTAGGAAAACATTCCTAACTGTCAGGGTGGTCAAATATTGGAATAAATTGCCAAGGGAGGTGGTGGAATCTCCCTCTCTGGAGATATTTAAGAACAGGTTAGATAGACATCTGTCAGGGATGGTGTAGACGGAGCTTGATCCTGCCTTGAGGGCAGGGGGCTGGACTCGATGACCTCTCGAGGTCCCTTCCAGTCCTATGATTCTATGATTCTATGATTTCAAAGTCTTTTAGAAAAATATCAGGTTCGCTCTTATACTCTCAAAGAGTCAGAAGGTTGAAATCAGTAACAGGAATGGGAACTGGGCAAGTGTTCTGGAGACTCAGAGTCTATGAGCAGATCTCTGGAGGTCTGAGAACAATGGGAATCTTGACTAAGAGAACCTCTCCTTTGTATAACCTGACAACATAAAACTGGGGTTTGGGAAGAGGGAGATTCTCCCTGGAGAGGTAAAATCTGGGAAGCCTGAAGTACCCACACCATGGAAAGGGCAGAACCTCTGTCTCCACTGCACCACAGAACAAATAGGAATACAGGGACTGTTCATACTTAAAAGTTATTTTAGATTAACACAGTGTGAGAATTCAAAGTACAACAGCTATTCTGGAACAGTTTCCAATTTGGACACTCTTATTCTGGAACAACAATATCCATGGGGAGCTATTACAAAATAGCTTTTCTGGTTAATTTTCTTATGCAAATAAATCCATGATCCTATCTCCAAAGGATGCTAGGACAATGAACTTATTAGCAGTTCTGATACCTTTTTTACAGGAGTAATTTGAAGCCTAGGAAACAAGGACAGAAGAATCTTAGAATTATAAACACCAGAGTTATGAACTGATCAGTAAACTACATACTTCATTTGGAACTGGAAGTACATAATGAGGCAGCAGCACAGATTTAAAAAAAATAAAAAGTAAATACAGTACAGTACTGTGTTAAATGTAAACTACTAAAAATAGGAAGAAAGTTTTTTTTTTTAATTGACATGGTAAGGAAACTGTTTCTGTGCTTGTTTCATTTAAATTAAGATGATCAAGATCAGCATCTTTCTTGGCCTAGCAAAGTTTCACAATTTCATGAAGTCAATGTTCAGTTGTAAACTTTTGAAAGAATAACCATAACATTTTGTTCAGAGTTACGAACTACCTCCATTCCCAAGATGTTCCTAACTCTGAGTTTCTGCTGTATATCATTGTCCTGTCACTTTTGGCCTGATCCCTGGGCTTCAACCCTGCAAAGGAATAATACTGACTGATAGGAAGATGAGGGATAGGAAGACACTTGACATTTTGATGAAAGGAAGATATATTAAAGGTAAGCGAGTGGGATTTCTGAGCCAGACTGATCCTGGTTGCATTTCATAGACTACCTCAGAAAAAGAGGACAGTTGGTTTGATCCTATTACAAATCTTTGACCAAAACAATCTCAGGCTCAAATGGCATGTCTTACGAACAGGTATTCACAGAAAATGTCTTGAGAGAGACTCATCAGAAAAAGTTACACAAGAGACCTGCAATGTTATCAGTGATTGCAGAGAAGAGGGATGGCAGAATATCATGCAGGCAAGCAGCTGGTATACTGGTAGTGTGGAAAGACATATATTGGGAGGCAAAAGGACTCTTTTCATCTCTCCAAAAGCCGAGTAAAGTAGGTTCCTTTTGCTCATCATCTTATGTCCAGTCCAATTTTTACTACTTTAATCTTTCATGTATTTCTAAGTACAAAAAGTAATACTGATTTAGCATCTGCTGTGCACTTGGAACTGCAATTGACTTCAATGGAAATCCATTCGCTGGACAGATGCAAGACTGGGTCCAAAGGCACAACAGATGAAGGCTAGAGCGAACAATGCTGTAATCTCCCATGCTTACAGGCTGTGACAGCAGAGGAATGTGGGAGGACCTAGTCATTATAAAATCAGAAGTCTATTTTTTTTGCACTTTACTTTTTGGTAAGATGGTGGTAATGGTATTGTATTTGCAGAATGGAGAGAGAGATGCTAAGAGGACAGGCCTGGAATTTCACTATTTTACCCTTCCTTTACCAATATTCACCAGTATATTAAGCCAAGAAAAACAAAATTTTAAACACCGCTTTTTTAAGTCACAGCTTGTTTTTGAGTATCAGAGGGGTAGCCGTGTTAGTCTGAATCTGCAAAAGTGGCGAGGAGTCCTGTGGCACCTTATAGACTAACTGAAGTGTAGGAGCATAAGCTTTCGTGGGCAAAGACCCACTTCGTCAGATGCATGTGCTTGTTTTTGAGTTGTTGTCATAAGGAAAGAAGAGAGAAGGAGATACATTTCATTTGATGGCTGTAGACCTTATATTTTGCAAATATGAATATCCTGTACTAACATTTGACTAGCTGCATCTTCAGGAAATTACGATGGGGGAGAAAAACTGCTTAAGAGTAGTTAAAATGAGAAATTAAAGTTTTCAGTACCTTTTCTCAACAGATGGAAAGTTAAAAGAATTAATTAAAAACAAAGTCTGTTACATAAGAAATGTCTTAAGTTTGTCATATCTGTGACATACATACTGTTTCCTCTCCCCTCACAGAAATCCCCCATCAGTAACCTAGACCAGCCTTGAAAAAGGCTGTTCTGCTTACCTGAAGCAAAAAAGGGCTAAAATTGACCCCTTTACTCCACCTGAACCAGTGGAGTAAAGCCTGAGGTGACATTCATGTCTAGAATTAAGGACAGTGTAAAAACACTGTATTGTAATTCAGAGTTATTGGCCTACAGGTGATGATCCAGATTACTCTGTGTTCTGCAGAGCACTTTAAACACCAGTGCTCCTCAGCCAGGAGATAAGGAAAAGCCCCCGGGGAACTTGATGGTTCATTTCCTATTGGGGCAAGATGGAGAGCTCACCAGCACAGCTGAGCATGCATGACCAGGGTCATAAACTTCTCCAGCAAGAAGCATTCAGGAGACAGCTC